TCTTTGGCTTTTAATCCTCCAGGCAGAAGATGAATTTGTTTACTGGCCAAATAAAGATGAGCCTATAAATTGTGAGAGCTTTAAGGTCACTCTTATGGCTGAAGAACACAAATGTCTTTCTAATGAGGAAAAGCTTATAATTCAAGACTTTATCTTAGAAGCAACACAGGTAAGGATTTAAGTTAACAAACTTTTCACCTTAAACGTGTGGTAGACATATGCTGACTTAAGACTCTTTCCCAGAAAAAAAAGGATTCTGATTTTTCCAAATTGTGACAAATAACTCAAATAATTGATATTTCTTGTCAGTGTCATTTTCAAAATCTTATAGAATCATTAAACAATTAGTTATCATTGAACTATACCATTCCTGAATTCTACACACACAGGAAATCAAAGATTTCTCTTTTACTCCAAATCAGTGGCTAATAGGACTTAGGTTGAACATAAACATAGTAAAAAATAATGTTATTGACTCCAAAATTGTGTTTTAATACAAGCCCTTACCTTGTATTCTCTTAAGTGAAATGGGAAAAACACTACCTACCAAAACTGACTGTTCTCTATCAATGCAGAGAGTTGGTGAGTGATAAGTGAAATAATGAGCTGATAAGTGAAAAAATCCTTCAAAAACATGCACAACAAACAATGTACAATAAACTAGGATTATTTTACTAGACTCTTGGTTATGTAAAAAATACTGTTGTTATCTACAAGATAATATATTGTTCTATAAAACTCTTGGTTGTATGTAAGGTATTTATTATTGAATTATTTGCCAATAATTATTTATGTAGAGCTACAGTAAAATACTAAAAGATCCTAATAATGATGACTAAGGCATGTGGGTTGGAGTATTTTCTTAATCAGAAAAAGATTAAATCATGTTTTGGATGGTTTAAATGTTTCACTTTACCCCAATTCTGAAACTGGTAAACAATATATAGTATATAAGAAGATTCTGTGTTCTCTAGAATATTTGAATGACCAAAATTTATAAACTTGATAGTACAAATAAATTAATAATTTAAACAGTATACCAACGGAATAGTATCCTACTTGATTAAAGCAAAAATAATGAACATGCTGATTCTAGCTGCACTGATGAACAATGCGGCCTTAAGAGAGTGAACTTCCATTCCGTGTTTGTAAAATGAGGGGCAGAAACTAGAAGGCTCCTAAGGTCCCTGAGAGCCCTTACTATCCCATGCCCATTTCCACCTGCGATTGTTTCCTCTCAGATCTGCCATCTCTCATGCCTTTCTCCCATTTTTACCAGTTAGTAAGAAAGTTTATTATACGAATAATAATCAGTAGATATCCATTATCTTGTCATGCTCATTATCCTGACCATGTCTAATATTTTGCTTGGCCTTGGGAAACCAGCACAGCAGAAAATGAACTGAAGAATACACATTCATGATTGATCCCAGTTCTGCATGTCTCGTCTATGTAAATCAGCGGTTGTCGACACCTTGATCATCCAGGAACCTAACCCAGGGGTCAGCAGTATTTCTAAAACAATGGTCCAGAAAGAAGGAAAGACTAAAGTGAGGGATTCTATTAATTTCAGACATTTATAGGCACTTTCCCCCAAATCTCACAACATTTGAAGTTGGTATACAGGTGACGGTCTATGCTGTATTAGACCAGGGTTCATTTTATAGTATCCAGGAAGTTTGGATTAAACTGCTGGGATTAAACTCAAAAGCTAGGGCCTTTATTTATTTATGAGGGCTATTGTTTAACATTTATTAAATATTGAATATATTGAAATCTATAAAATATGTGCCAGGTATAAACTGATACAATAAATCACTGTGTACCTGTCACCGAGTTCAAGAAAAGCCTTATGTTTGAAGTCTTTCATGTGCTCCCTATTTCATTGTATCCTCTCCTCCTGACAGAAGTGGCCTCTTCCTGAATTAGTACTTAGTGCTCTCTTAGTTTACTTTATAATTTTACCTGTTGTCTTTGTTTTCCTGAAAACCATTTTGTTCACTTTTGAATATTTTTAAACTTTTTATGAATGATGGCATGTATATTTTTCAGAGATTTACTATTTCCTTCATTATTATTCTGCTGAAATTTATGCATATGATTGGGTATGGTGCGAATACATTTACTTCTACTGCTTAGCATTTCAGATTATAAATGTACTTTTTCTATTCTACAGTTGGGGTATTTCTTATTTATTTGTTGTCGTTTAATTTGGTTTGTTGCTCTTACTAATAGTGCCAGTACAAATAGTTTTAGACACATGCAAAATTTTCTCTTGGGTATACCTGAGAATTCCTGTGCTGGATCATTGTGTATGAGCATCTTCAACTTTATTCAACCACAGAGTGGTTCCAAGCTACCGTTCCATCTAGAGTGTGGAAGTGATCTGGAATCTCTACATCCTTGCTGGTGCTTGTGGTGGGAATGAAATGACATCACGTGGTGGTTTTAATTGCATTGCTCTTGTTAAAAGTGAAGTTGAATATCTGTACATAAATGTATTGGCCATTTAGTTTTCATCTTTTACAACATGTCTGTTTATGATTTGGGGCCATTTTTCTATTAGATTATTTATCATTTACTTACTGATTTACCAAAGGTCTATTTGTATTGTGGATACTAATCCTTTGTCAGCTACAAGTGTTGCAAATACTTTCTCCCAGTTTGCAATTTGGCTTTTTTAACTTTCTTTGTGATCTTTTGTGGTAGAGTTTAATCAGTATGAATTTATTCATCTTTTCCTTTCTGGCTTTTATAAGAAATCTATCATTTAGTGTATTTAAGCAAATTCCCTTCTTATCCTGAAATCATGAAGATACTCTCCTACATCATTTTCTAAATGTTTTTTAGTTCCACCTGGAATTAGTTTTTTTTTTTTTTGTAAACAAGGGGCCTGTTTGGTTATTTTCCATGTAATGCTCATTGTACCGGCTCCATTTATGGGTCAGCAATATCAGTTCAGTCATAAATCCAGTTTCTATATATGTATGGGCTTGTTTCTAGGATCTTTATGTTATTCCCTTGGTCTGTCTTTCCATCCCCCTGCCAAAACAGCAGTGTCTTAATTCTTACAGCTTATAATAGTTATTAATATAAGATGAGCTAACTCACTGTTTTGTTTTTCTTCTTTAAGGAATATCTTGGCTGCTTTAGCCTTTTGCACTTCCATATAAAATTTAGGTTCTGCTACTTGTTTTTTACATGTAGCATATTGAGTACACTTTTGGGAACTGGGGGTCACAGGTTTAAGAGACTTCATTCACAAAGTCTGGTTAGTCACATAAGCAAGAATCTGAACTGGGACCATAGTTGGACCTAGATCTCCACCTCCTTGCCACTGTGTTGTGCAATTTCATTCTTCCCTTAGGTAAGCCTGAGGATTGGTGGTATTTGAAGAGGTTTATGCTATTTTCAAAATAAATTTTAACACTGAAGATTTATTTTTAAAATTTAAATTTAGTAGTGCAGACACATCTTTGGTACATGTTTCATGGTTTACTGGCATTGATATGATACACCCACACATAAGGTTTATTTTTAGGATAAAAAAAGAAATTACACTTTCTAATCCTGCTGAGTAAACCTATGCAATGGTAAATGCGGCATCACAACTACTTCTTCCTTCCATGACAGACGTGCTGCCACTACTAATGCTCATTCATGCATGCCATTCAGTTTCATTACCTTACTGTAATTCCTAATTTTCCCCAACTATTCCACCCATGATAAACTGTCACAAACCAATATTATTCTTCTAAAAACATTAAGTTTTCTTTCTTCTTACAGGATGATTACGTACTTGAAGTGAGGCATTTTCAGTGCCCCAAATGGCCAAATCCAGATAGCCCCATTAGTAAAACTTTTGAACTTATAAGTATTATCAAAGAAGAAGCTGCCAACAGGGATGGACCCATGATTGTTCATGATGAGTAAGTTCCACATATTAAACTGTTTCAAAACTGAGCATTCTTGGCCGGGCGCAGTGGCTCACGCCTATAATCCTAGCACTCTTGAGAGGCCAAGGCGGGAGGATTGCTCAAGGTCAGGAGTTCCAGACTAGCCTGAGCTCTCGCTACTAAAAATAGAAAGAAATTAATTAGCCAGCTAAAAATATACAGAAAAAATTAGCCGGCCATGGTTGTGCATGCCTGTAGTCCCAGCTACTGAGGAGGCTGAGGCAGAAGGATTGCTTGAGCCCAGGAGTTTGAGGTTGCTGTGACCTAGGCTGATGTCACAGCACTATAATCCAGGTGCCAGAGTGAGGCTCTGTTTCAAAAAAAAAAAAGAAAAAAACCTGAGCATTCTCTGGGTCTATGTATATTTCTACTGTGTTCAGACTAACCTAATGCTTTGGACTAACTGTGATGATTCAGCCATGGTGATTATCAGCTTCTTATCAGCAAAGTTAACATAGAACATTGTTTTTTTTACTTCATTTGAAGCCAGTGTTGAAAGCTGAAGATGAATTCATGATCATAGGAATCTGATCTTGCATTTTTATACTGAGAGCACTTTGTGTGATGAGTTAGTGCTTGGCCACTGGAATTTTACAGGAGCTAACCAGAGAGACATTTTTCAGTCATTGATCTCCTGAGACAAGGGTCAAATTGCTATGATTTTTATTTATCAGAAATAGGAGTCTTTATCCAATAAACCTTTCCAGGCCTCTTTTATAAACAAAAAATGCATATGCTTGAATTGTATACATATTGTATATGATACATAAGTATGTGTCTATGTCATTTTTTATTTAACGTCAGCCCCTTTCATAGTATAAAAAATAAGCAAATATTAAACTTATATAAAGCATGCCATTATTAATCTGAATATTTGGCAATGTTTCAAATTAAACCATAGTTTTAAGCATAAGACAGTAAAGAGAGACAATTAAAATTAACTGTTTTTACTGCAAAGTTGTCAAGGCTAGTTGCTCTGTGAATTCTACATGTGAGCGTTTGATGCAGCTGAATGGAATCTTTGTCCCTTTCCTTTGCTACAAGGCACGGAGGAGTGACCGCAGGAACTTTCTGTGCTCTGACAACCCTTATGCACCAACTAGAAAAAGAAAATTCCATGGATGTTTACCAGGTAGCCAAGATGATCAATTTGATGAGGCCAGGAGTCTTTGCTGACATTGTAAGTAATAAAGCAGTGAACCCAAATTTTCACTATTTGAAAAATTAGAAAATTTTCACTATTATTTTTTTCTTTTAAAGTACTACTTCCTTCCTAAAGGCTACTTTGTCATGTATCATGAAAGATCATATTGACTGATAACATTAGCATGTAGTTTCAAGCTGAATTACAAGTCCTTGGAACCAAACCAACAACCAAGCAATATTTAAAGTTTATCTTCCAGAAAATTGAAAGTTTAAAAAATTTTAAATCTCATGTGTGACTTTTTACACAACAGGGAACTTAGTGTAAATTGGGGTATTAGTGTAAATACCCCAATGAGATGCTTGGGTGAATGTACAAGTTATACGCTCACCTTTAGCTCATTGGTCTACATATGTATGCATGTATAAGGTCCATCTTCAAAACTCCAGCCCAAATCAGTTGATGGGACATCAAGGTAATCCTTGCACATATGCACTTCAAAGAAAACCATATTTAAAAATCTCATTCAAGCCAGTTGTGTCATATTAAGCTTGTCCTGGATGAAATTTATTTCTGGAGATGCGAATTTCACAAATACATTTAATGATGCACTGGATCACATATGGTCCTAATGGTTTTCCACTATGGTGCTAGTAAACTGGCTTGGGTTCTCTGCTGCTGCCTCTCCCCAAACTGTCTGGGATGGCATCTGTAAGAGAAAAACTGCATATTCTTCAATGAATCAATACTCTGAGACCACAGCAGAGCACACAGTCACCTTTACTCAAAGCAGAGCATAGGACCAATCAGGCTTATAGACTGTGAAATTCTTCTTCCTGGTAAACAGTGGGTCTTGAGAAAGGACTGCATTCTATGTGGGTCCCTGGGCTGGCAGCGCTGTCATTTCTGAGATCTCTCCATAAATAGACAGACCCAGTGGATTTCGTAACAACTCGAGAATGAATAAGAAGCTTATTTTGGATGGGTTACAGGTGCCTAATGCCAAAGGGTTTCCCCATAAGTTAACGGAACCCTGCCACATAACCATCAGATTTCATGGAGTAGACAAATAAGAATGAAGTGCTTATCACTGGCAAATGTATGTGGGCAATATTCTAGGTCAATGAATGTTCTCTAATTGAAAAGTTACCTTAATGTAATCAGAAAGGGACATTAACATAGATTGTGTACTTCTGTTGAGAATAACAAAGACCTTAACACAATGCCCTTCTGCGAATAGTGCCGAAGTGTATCTAAAAATATTCTTGCTTTTGACAAATTTATGACCTAAGCTTCCCGTGCATGACCTCCCATTTTCTGTTCTCTAGGAGCAGTATCAGTTTCTCTACAAAGTGGTCCTCAGCCTTGTGAGCACAAGACAGGAAGAGAATCCATCCACCTCTCTGGACAGTAACGGTGCGGCATTAGCTGATGGAAATATTGCTGAGAGCTTAGAGTCTTTAGTTTAACACAGAAAGGGGTGTGGGAGCCCACATCTGAGCTTTGCTTTCCTCTTTCTAAAATTACACAGGAAAATCAGTCTAGTTCTGTTATCTGTTTACTTCCCATCACCTGACAGTAACTTACATGACATAGGATTCTGCTGCCAAATTTACGTCATTAACAATGTGTGCCTTTTTGCAAGACTTCTTGTAATTCACTTCTTATGTTTGAACTAAAATGATTGAATTTTACAGTATTTCTAAGAATGGACTTGTGGTACTTTTTTCTGTATTGATTTTAACAGGAAATTTCAATGTATCGGTATTAGGAATTCCCAACTACACAAAACGTTTGTTTTTAGTGTCAAATTTTTAGCTGTATTTGTAGCCATCATCAGATTTACTAGAATTATAACTTTTAATATAGTAGACTGTAAATAAAATACTGCTCCCTATGATATGCAGCATTTTACAACTGTAGTCTTCACCTAAAGTAGAAATAATCTGATACTTACTGTAAATACTGCTCTAGTGTCTCCATGGACCAAATTTATATTTATAATTGTAGATTTTATATTTTACTACTGAGTCAGTTTTCTAGTTCTGTGTAATTGTTTAGTTTAATGATGTAGTTCATTATCTATTCTTACTCTACAAGTCTTCTGATATTGTATTGTGTTATCTAAGTGATTAACTCTGTTTCAGCATGTAATTTTAACTTTTGTGAAAAATAGAAATTCATTTGTTTTAAAAGATGTTTTTATGAGAATAACACCTTACCAAACATTGTTCAAATGGTTTTTATCCGAGGAATTGCAAGAATAAATATAAATATTGCCATCAATTTGTCTTTGCTTGTGGAGGGTTGTGCTGACGCATGTGTGGCAGAAAACTGTGGACATGGGTCCCACTAAGATGATGGAAGCAAAAAAAAAAAAAAAATAGTGGAATGGGACAATGTGTAGAGCTATAGTCCCCAACTGTGCACTGAGGCACACAGGGAAGTCATAAAATCTTACATTTGTAAGGACTTCACAGCAAGCAACATGTGCTGACACTGCACAAACTTCTACGATCAAATTATTTGGACCTAACTACTTAATAAACAGAACCATTATGTATTACTTTTGGCTTAGGGGAGTTCTGGGGCCTAAACGTTTATGTCCCTCTAAAATTCATACCCTCACCCTCAAGGTAATGATATCAGGAGGTGGGGCCTTTGGGAAGTAGCTCTCATGAATGAGATTAGTGTCCTTAAAAAAGAGGGCTGAACAAGCACAATGACTCACACCTGTAATCCTAGCACTTTGGGAGGCTGAGGCAGGAAGATCACTGAGGCCAGGAGTTTGAGACCAGCCTGAGCAACACAGCAAAATACTGTCTCTATAAAAAAAACACTAAGAGTGACAGACAGACAGACCTGAGAAAGACCCCTCTGTCATTTCACCATGTGAGATTACAATGAGAAGACAATCGTTCATAAGGAGATAAGCCCTTACAAGACATAAAATCTGCCAGCACCTTGATGTTGGACTTTTTCCCCCTCCAGACTGTGAGAGATATATTTCTGTTGTTTGTAAGCTATCCTATTTATGGTATTTTATTACAGCAGCCCAAATGGACTAAAAGAATTATGAAAATGTTACTGAGAAACTAAGGGCATCATGTACCAAGAAATGTTGTGAACCTTTGGCTTAGAAACAAGCTGAGAATTAGAAGCAGGCAGATTTGCCAAGAAAAGTCTCCAGTATAATCAAAGGTCAAGCCAAGTAGGGAATTGGAAACAGAGTAGACAGACAAGAACCAGGAAGTCATAAATCCCAAAGTGGGAAAAGGTAAGAGATCTCATGATAGTGTAAATTGTTGGGATCTAAGAGCTGTGTGGAACTGAAGTGCAGGAAAACGGAATCATTAGTAACAAGCAGACTTTAATACTTGAAGCAGTCCCCTGCCTCAGCCAGGTGTTTTGTAGTACTGCCTAATAAGACAAGAGATTAATTCTGTTAATAAAGAGACTGCTGATCTGCAAGAATGCCCAGCTCAGGGGCCAGAGAGGAAAGACAGAGAAGTTTTGTTTAAATCAATGGTTTTCAAAGTGTGCTTCCCAGACCAAAAGTATCAGCAAAACCTGGGAATCTGTTGGAGATGCAAACCCTAGATTCTGATCCCAGACCTACTATATCAAACTCTGGGGGTAGGGCCCAGAAATCTAATGCATGCTAAAGTTGGAGAACCATGCACTATAGAAACAGCATTTCCAAGAGCCTACAGTTTCCTCAAGCAATTATCAGGAAATTTTCACCAAATCCTTAAAATAGAGCTAAAATTAATTAACTTTTCTTTTTATGAGAGATTTCCTTTTACAGCAATAGTTATGAGAGATATGAAATAGACCCTCCCAAAAAAGTCAAACAAATAGTAGCATGCCACAGATTCCAAAATGTTGATAAGCACTTTTCAAGGGTACAAAAATAATTAATGTGCTTCTTTCTCACCCTCCTAGGGCAGAAGGAAAAAAGGTTAATTTTGAATGCCTTGGTTGCTGTTCTAACCTTATCGCCCCATCCTTTAACAGTTTTGTTTTATCACCACCTGCAATGTGGTTTTATCACCACCTGCAAGCTGAACTGTACTGAACAGTACTACATGTCACGATAATTATTTTATCTATTTTTCCCTTATTTTTTGTCCCAGGAACAAGCAGCCTTTGAAGGGATACAGATTTTTTTTTTTCCTTTAAGGTCATTTATTGTGATGTTCCTTGCAGAATCTTGCCCAGGAGAAAATAATTATGCAGTAGCATGCATGATAGTTAAGCATTTTTACACAAATTTTAAATAAATGTATTCTGAAACAGATTAAAAAGGAAATTCCTGTCAGATACAGCAATCTTACCTCATTTCTTGACCTTAACTCTGAGACAACAATCAATTATGAGACAGGGATATAAATGAAGCCAGCAAAGTCAGTCAGGTACATCTCACCTAATTATTTCCATCCATTACCAAAATTTCATTCCTGGTTTTAAATACATTCACAGCTTTTATCCATATATTGTTTTATTACATAATTGTGGCTTCATTGTGACTATGTTTTTATTCTGCTTTTTATATTGTTATATAGGCATTTTTATTATATATACTTTATAAGCTTATTATTGTGAAGGCTATATAATATTTGCATCCAGTATAGCAGTTTTAAACTGGGGACAATATTGTTCCCCAAGGGAAATCTGGCAATGTCTGGAGACATTTTTGGTTATCATAACTGGGCAGGAAGATGGGACAACTACTGGATAGAAGCCAGAGATGCTGCTACACATCCCACAGTGCACAGGACAGCCCTTAAAACAAAGAATCACCCACCACAAAATGTTGATAGTGCCAAGACAGAGAAACCCTGCTCTTGTAGATACACCGTGAATCTGATGATCATTTTCCTAATGTTAGCTGTTTAGGCTCTTTCTGATTCTCCCTTTTATAATACTATGTTAAACATTTCTTCATGTAAAAAGCTTTTACCATGTTTAGGATTGTTCCTTAGGATCAATTCCTGTGTTATTTGGGGAGCAGATTGTATGAACTTTATGTGACTTACTACTTTTTTGCTTTCCAAAAAAGTTGTTCAGTTGACACTTCCACCAGCAAAGTAGTAGTGTCCTATTGTTCAACTCATGGGTTCAGGCCTTAATCAATTTTGATACTTTTTTTTTTTTTTTTTTTGAGACAGAGTGTCACTCTGTTGCCCAGGCTAGAGTGAGTGCCGTGGCGTCAGCCTAGCTCACAGCAACCTCAAACTCCTGGGCTCAAGCGATCCTGCTGCCTCAGCCTCCCGAGTAGCTGGGACTAAAGGCATGCGCCACCAGGACTGGCTAATTTTTTTCTGTATATTTTTAGCTGGCCAATTAATTTCTTTCTATTTATAATAGAGACGGAGTCTCGCTCTTGCTCAGGCTGGTTTCGAATTCCTGACCTCGAGCAATACGCCCGCCTTGGCCTCCCAGAGAGCTGGGATTACAGGCGTGAGCCACCGTGCCCGGCCAATTTTGATATTTTTCAAATAGCACAGAAGATGTTTTCTCAACTATCTTTATTCCATTGTAGTACCTGCTTATTTCAAGGAGAGAATTAGTTTTATATGCCAGGTTATGAGCACAGTCTGTGAAGGTCAAACAGGTGCTTAATTTATATTTCTAAAGGCAAGAAGTTTTCCCCAAGAAGTAAATAAACAAATTTTATTTGTAATTTAATCTTTAAACAACTTGAGATGTAATTTACATACCACACAGTTCATACATTCAAAGTATACAATTCAGTGGTTTTTTAGTATATTTAGAGATTGTGCTACCATTAACACAATCAACTCCATATATATATATGGAGTTGTAATTCCATTGTATATATATAAACATAAATGTATTTGCCTATTTTGGTCATTTCGTATAAATAAAATCATATAATATGTGACCTTTTGTGTCTGGCTTTCTTCACTTAGCATGTTTTCAATGTTCAACCATTTCATAGTGTGTATCAATATACTTCACTTCTTTTTATTGCTGAATAATATTCCATTGTATGGATATACCACATTTTGTGTATTCATTAGTTGGTGGGACAGTTAGGCTGTTTCAATTTTGGGCTATTACAAATAATGCTGCAATGAACATTTGTGCACAAGTATTTATGTGGACATTTGTTTTAATTTCTCTTGGATATCCACCAGCAGTGTATGAGAGTTCCAATTTCTCTGCAGCCTCACCAACATTTGTTATTAACTTTATTAGTATAGCCATTCTAATGGGTATAAAGTTGTATCTCATTATGGATTTGATTTGCATTTCTCTGATGGCTAATAATGTTGAAATTCTTTTTATGTGTTTATTGGTCTTTTGTATATCATCTTTTGGAGAACTGTCAATTCAGATCCTTTGTTCACTTTTTAAATTGGGTTATTTGTCTTTTTATTATTGTTATAAGAATTTATTATATATTCTAGATACAAGTCCTTTTGTTGATATATGATTTACAAAATTTTTCTCTCATTCTATAGGTTGTGTTTTGCTTTTTTTGAAGGTGTCCTTGGAAGCATAAAAGTTTTTAATTTTGATGATGTTCAATTTATCTATTTTTGTGTTTTTGGTGTTATTTATTTAACCATTGCCTAATCCAAGATCATGAAAATTTACACCTAAGTTTTCTTCTAAAATGTTTACAGTATTAGCTCTTAAATTTAATTTTTATATGTGGTAGGAGGTAGGGTTCCAACTTCATTATGTTGCATGTGGATATCCAGGTTTCCAACACCATTTAGTGAAACAGGCTATTTCCAACCCCCATGGAATCAATCACCTTAGCACCTTTTTCAAAAGTCAATTGACCATAAATGTAAACAACATTTCAGCACTTTCAATCTTATTACCATTTTATTCTTTTTAATGCTGTTGAAAATTGAATTGTTTTCTTAATATTATTTTTGGCTCATTCATTAATACTTTACAAAAAGATAATCAATTCCTGTATGTTAATCATGTATCTTGTCACTTTGCTGAATTCATTTATTAGGTCTAATCGGGTTCTTGGGAGTTTTTAGAGTATGTCTTTGGATTTTCTATGGATTTCCTTTGAATTTCTATGCATAAAAATAATATCATCTGCAAATAGAGTTTACTTCTTCCTTACCAATCTAGATGCCTTTTATTTCATTTTCTTGCCTAATTTCCCTAGCTCAACCCTCCTGTACAAATATAGAAGTAGATAGAGCAGACATCTTTGTCTTTTTTCTGATCTCAGGGGGAAATAATTTAGTCTTTAAGTATTAAGTACTGTGCTAGCTGTGGGTTTTCCA